AAAAAAAAAAACACCTAAGCACGTATGCAAACAAATTTTTTATTGCTGTCGCGTTGCGGTTACACATACAGACCAGTGAAAAATTAGCGTTCACATGATGAGCATCCATGTAACTTTCACTGTCTCATGCATATTTGTCCCAAAAAAGACGTGCTAAAAAACTTTAATTTCCAGACCGTTCTCTCCAGATTCTTTTTTCGGATTCTCCGTTGATAGCAGGTTTGCAGTTTTGACCCAGATTAAACTTGTTGATGTAAGCAAACGGCTGCTTCTATATAATAGCTTGCGGCACAGTGCCATTCTCAATAATAACCCTTTTCCCTCATCCTGGAATTTGCGTTCGATTCCTGCTGACTTCATACTAATTATATTGTGGTTCCAAATGACAAGCCCTCTAAAACTCGTATTTTTGAGCAACGAAAAAAGTTGTCCGGTGAATTGACTTGTTTACTGAAATTTAGGAGACCCAATATAACGTCCCAGTTTTTGACCTAATTACTGGATACTATTGCTTTTGCTTCCCACCACTGCTCCAGTTTCTCTTTCAGCTGATAAATTCGAGCAGACTTATCCGAATGCATCCTTTGTTTTCTTTCTTTTTTTTCACATTAAGCCATGACAAATAATTGGGACAGTGCTGAAGCGGCGCGATTGTAGCCAGTATTTAACAAGTAAATTAGACGAGACGAGTCCTCCAAAACATAATCTCATGTTCTACAGGAGGTACGATGGGAAGCATTTAGGAGTTCTAAATATTAGCACGGAGGCGATTGCTGTGAATAGCAATTTAAATTAATTTAAATTAGAGGACGGCTAACTGAGAAAAGTATTCAGTCGATCTTTTGAAACCCGCAAAAATTTTCGAACTCTTGCCGATTCCATAAAATTATTGCGAAAATTTTTCTGATGAGTATATTTTAAATTTTTGAAAAGCCGCAACAAAATGAGGTAACTCGCCAGAAATATTCACTGGTGTGAAATAAATTTAAAAAAATAAATTAACTTCTTACAAGAGATGTCATCTCAGACAGGAGTCTTAGTATGGGGCTACAAAAAAATCGAAGTAAATGTAGCTCGAGAATAAACAAAGGTGTCTATTGACAGGCGATGAATTGGCGTATTTGATAAAGTGAAAATATGAATTCTCAAATGCACTCAAATTCTTGTAGTATGATGTTTATAGATCCTGTACAAACAGGCTGGGCAGGAAATACAAATATTTTGGGGGGAGGTATGCAGTTGTCTTCGAAGGCATCTCTCCAACTTTGCTTTGAAATGTTTTAGCGCTGGAGAAGAGTCAAACCCGAGGTCGAAAACACGAGCAAAAATACGTACTTGAAAAACAAACAACTTTTCGAATAATCGTTCTGGCCTTGAAGCTATCCTTTGCAGTGACTACTGACCAGCTCCGCAAGGCCATCTTTTTCGTTCTTCCTCGTTCTCTCCGCTTTTCTCTCCGGAAGGATTGAGGGAGGCAGGCTAGTTTCATGTCAGCTACAGTTACTTTTTTACAAATACTGAAATTTTTTTGAAATTGATCTTCTTACGCAGCCCTGAGCATTCCTGGTACGATCTGATTTAGTGTACCATATGCAGTTGAAATTTCAAAAGTTTTACGAGTCAAGATGACTCTGGGTTGCAGCATCGCGCATTTAAAAATTATCCAAAAAACAAAAATTCATGGGAAGAAATGAGGAAAGATTCAGTACTGTACTTTCTCAATTTTGTAAAAATGATCTCTTGAAAGCGCTATACAGCTTTTTGTGATTCATTTTTGATGGATCACTTACCTCAGCTATGTTAAAATCTCGAGCATCCACAATGACATTTTCTCTACTAGAATGGTTCACAGCTTTTTTATCAGTTAATTAGCAGCGCGAAAAATAGTAAAGCGGAATTTTTAAAATTTTGTTTCATTTTTGCATTTTTCTGCGTAAAGGTCAGTTGGAGAGCTGCACAGTGGGTTCCTTTTGCCCAAAAAGCTGAGAAAATTCGCATTAGTCTCTAGCTGATTTACCATCTAACAATTTCAGTTTTTACACTTCACCTGCTACTTTCACTACCTTTTGAACTTTATCAAATTCTAAAGCCTCGTGCTGAATAAGTGAAAAAGGTGAATTTTTTGGTATTACTGTTTTTTCCAGTTTTTTCTCTTTTCAGAAAATAGATTCGCATGATTTCATACAATTTTCTTGCAAAAAAGCAGCCGCTTTGCATGTAAATGCTTTTGAATGCAGTCGCGTTTTAATTAGCACGAAGCGTTGAGCTGCTATTAGACTGATCAGCGTCATCGGAGCACAGCTGCTTGGCTTGGGAATGTATGTAACACCAAATTGCAGATGCTATTGAGGTTATGTACGTTGATTCTACTAAACGCAGTTGTAATCAGTGCCGATACGACACTGCAGCAAAGTAAGTGAACAAAACAAGCATTCCTTGATGACACTTCTAGATCCTTTGAAAATTCCCTCATATCAGGCAAATTTTTCGAGAAAATATTACGTTTTCAGCCGTGTTCAAGCCGGTATCAGTATGTCTCACCAAACTTTAAACCATTGAAAATCCTAACTTTCGTCTTATCCGTAGTGATTTTTTCGCCTCCACATTGTTTTGAGAGCTCTACATTTGAGTAGTTTCGTATAAATGCTCAAACGACTTCCTTTTTTTTAAATTAACTGTTTGATCAAAATTAGCCATGGAAATGCATCCTCTGTAAATTCCTTTCAAATGAATTCTGTATCGATGAAACAAGAAACATAAGCAGAGTCTGTGATATCTCCAACTTCAGAACGAAGTTTACCTGAATCATAAAGCTGTGGTCGTTCTTTTTCGTCTTCAAAATTCTGATCGTAATTTTGTTTTACATATGCACAGTGTTATCAACTTCTACAGATGCTATAGACGAGGTAGTGGAAAAAGCACTGGAGGATGCCCGAAAGAGCATCGATGAGCTGCAGCATGAGCAAGAACCAATTTTACTGCAAAACATAAGTTCGTTTTTCTTTTTAACAAAATTCCGGAATTATAAATAACTAGAAAAATTTCACGGATCTGGTAAAAGGCCTGTGTAAATTAATGCTAAAGGCCGTCGTTGTAGAATTAAATTAAACAGATAGCCAGTGTGCTGAATTTGAAACCTAGAAGAGAAAATGCATGTCGTAACTGTGCTTTTGTAGATCCACTGGACCAGATGAAAGTGCCAGTCAAATTATGGGGTCTATATACGCGATCCGAACCAAGCATACGGAAATATGCATACGCCGCACTGGTTTCCATTGCTGCTACCAAAAAACTAAAAAAGTTTGCTTTTTGAAATTTCTTAGTCACATCTCACGCATTTTTGCTCTGTAAGTAGAAGTTAGTGTAGAAACGCTTTTAACTATTACTGACAGCTAATGCAACAAGTTAAATTATACTCATAAATTATGCTCGAGTTTCCAAGACTTATTTAGAATTCTCGAGCACCCTCTTTCTGCGATTCACTCATTTAGTATTTGTACAATTGAAAAATTCACCTCTAGCTTACTTCCGTTTGACTCTCAAGTGGAATTGCCTTAGAGGAACCACCGTCGTCTTGCCAACGAGCAGTTACTATTCGCATGTGTCACCAGCTGGACAATTTCGAATGTCTCCGTAAAAGATAAACAAAAAATAAAAATATGCAGTTTAGATATTTGTGCGGTAAAAATTTTTTAGTGGTGGTGTGGAATCAGCAAACGCATTGCCCACAGTTCTGAAGCATATCAAAGAATTTTGTCCACTGCGTGATATTCAGTGCCCAACAAGCAAGTACCGCTCCATCGACGGCAAATGCAACAACGTGATGAATCCAGCCTGGGGCTCCAATGGTACACCCATGCAACGTATCATGGAACCGTTTTATGCCGATGGTTTGTCTCACAATTTACTCCAGCATAAAATACGAAGCACTGCTTTTGCGTGAGTTAGCAGCTTGTTCAAGAAACCAAATGAACATTATTAGAGATGCCAGTCCGCTGACCACTGGCTGATGTAGTACTGGTCACAACAATTGCTAGAGCTGTCAGCAGCATAGTTGATAAATTAGCATATTTCAGCTAATCTAATTGTTTCTAGTACTTTTTTGATGTATAGGTCTGCTAAACTGTGTTATCCAGTCTGCATTAGATGGCACTCCTGGACTGTTTTGGCTGATACAGCTTCCAGCGTCAAGCAAGGCCTCATTTATATGTTATCACTTCGCAGTTGTTGCATTTAATTAAAAAGCGGTGAAAAAAATGGAATTTTTTTCTCCTTGTTGTAAGAGCTTGACAGGTTATTCTTTTTTTTTTCGGCAGATCGAGTTTTCATTGCTACGAGATGTAGTGATTATTAGAGAGAAATAGGTCAATGTTGCTGACGCATTCGAGCGTGTAACTGGATGTGTAGTCGTGCGATTCACATAATAAAGAAGTTGATTTCTATTTGAAATAAAAGTTCTAAAAAAGACCCGCCTTGACGGTTTCTCCAGAAAACCAATTTCAGTGTTTGTAATGAAAAAATTTCAATGTCTGTACCATTCTCGGAATGAAAAAAATTCAGGGGTCGATGAAATTCGGGTCTCAGTCGAGGACGGAAGTGAGCTACCGAATGTGCGAATTCTATCAAATCGCTTTTTCGAGAAGCAACACGCTCCCTCACTGAGGGTGAACATGCTGGTGGCGCAGTGGTCCCATTTCATCTATACCGATCTGGTGCACATCGGAAGTCTTCAACTGTTTCAAGGTTCTGGAACAAAATTCATGCTTCAAATGCACTCATTTTTGTGCTCCTCACTGGAAAGGAGCAAGGTAGCCATCACTACAGTTCCCGGATTCTAACTTTTAATACTGAGGAAAAATTCTTGTATAATTTATGGTGAGGTTTTATTGGGAGTGGAACTCTACGATACTAGAGAGATTAAGGAATCTCCTTTGATTAATACAGCTATACACAGATCACGCTTTTTTTTCGCTGAATTAAAATGTGAAGTTGATTATAGCTCTAACTTCTTGGGCTGAGATTTTGCTCCATTCTGAAAGTTTTGGAGATTACAAACTAAATTTTTGGTTTAGAATAACTTTCTACGAATACTGAATGGCCAGAATTTCAGAAGCCAAGCAGATCCCATTGCCGTGTTGTCTGACAGGCGTAAAGCCACATCCGGAATGTAAGTCAATTATTGTTCCTGAGGACGATTCTCACTACGGTGGTTTTCTGAGCTGTCTACCGTATTCACGCACTACTCCAGCTCCGCGTCCAAAATGTGGCCTCGGCGCTCGCGAACAATCAAATCAGGCGACCAGCTTTTTGGATGCGAGCGTTATCTATGGCAGCACGAAGCAGCGCGCACGGGCACTCAGGACCTTCAGGAATGGTCAGTAGCACCACACTTTTTTATTTGCCGTTGAATTTCAGGATTCGCTGGTTTAGAGTTAGAGTTAAACTAATGTAGGGTGCTTGATTTAGCCAGCAACTTTTCGTTTTTGCTAATGAATAATTGAGTTAGCCTGTTATCTGTGCCTTTTGTAACCTAGAAAAGTTTGTTTTTTCAAGTAGTTAGTTATCATTAATACTTAAAACAGACAGCCTCCAGCAGCACATAAAGCGGAATTGTTATAGGACAACTACTGACAAGTGAAGATCCACTAAACCAAAACATGCCTCCGACGGTCAGCTTGATCAGCAGTGTGCTGAAGACGGGCACCGAATGCGCTACGGGTAACGCAAATAGCTGCTTCGTCAGTGGCTCGGATCACGTTAATTTTCTACCGCCGGTTGTCGCTCTTCATGCTCTCTGGATACGACAGCACAATCGAATTGCAGCCACTTTAAGCGTAATTCCACTTTTAATTTCCAATTTAGTGTTCAAAGAAACAATAGCCGAGGCTACTCATACCACTGATTCTAATTATGCATATGATTAAGGAAATTAAAAGTGATTTTCGCTAGATTATTTTATTGCTTAGGACATTAATTGCAGACGCTGAATGCGCACTGGTCGGATGAAAAGCTGTACCAAGAGACACGACGAATTGTCATTGCACAACTTCAGCATATCACATACAATGAATTCTTGCCAATTTTGGTTGGAAAAGAGAATTGGGCCAAATTTGGCTTGCAATCGCACTCTTCCGGATATAGCAGGCAGTATAGCTTAGAAGTGGATCCATCGGTGGTTAATACATTTGCTGCGGTCGCCGGACAGGTTCATTTTTTAGCTAATACAAATCAGCCACATTTTTTCATTTTGCGTTTTTTATTTCTTAAGCGAATCCTAAGAAAATACTCGCTCACTCTCCTTTTTCTTGAAATTAGTAAAATCAAGTAGGCTTATTTTGGAACAAACAAATAAAATTACAGAAGACAGATGGGTTGTTGCTCAATGAGTCTTGAAAAAAAAAGTGATAGAACAGAACTAACCAAAAAAAATGCATTTTTCGCAGGTCACAAAGTAAGCGGTGGACAATAAGTGAAAAAAGACACATTTAAAAATTTCTCCGCAATATTTTATACATCAGAAAAACAGAGGACACGTCTCATAACACAGACTGCACCATAGGTTCGATTCATTCAATACGCGTTAAATGTTGAAATCTCAAGTGCACTGTTGAGAGTAATGTGGTACCACTGGTGTTTAAAGTGTAGCCAATTGTTAATTTAGGGGGATATCGGTGTGTTTTCCTGTTTTCACTTGGAATTCATGTACAACACTGTTACAGTTCTTCTTCACGATGTTTGGAACTCACTTGGCATGGTATGACGATGACGGCACGAAAGTGCTGGAGCGACCACTAAACGAATACTTTAACGATCCTGGCTCACTTTTCTTCACCGACCGAATTGGAGCAATTTTCAGGTTAAATAAAATAAAAATACGAGGTCATTTTCCTGAAGACAAAAGTATTGACGTCAGATGCACTGTCAAATCTGCGTTGCATAGCCACTTCTGAGGGTTTCAAAAGCGTAACTGATAGAAGCTTACAAATTTGTAACTGCATGAGCGCACAGACAAGTGGCCAATTCTCAGTAGAACCCAGGTGTTGCAGATGCGCACGGGTTGGCGAAGCAAAAAACAGGATCTTAAGCAGAATGAACTGATGGTCATCCATACCACTAAGTGATAAGCATTAGTTAAAAAAGTGGAAGTTGCAAAAATGGAGAGCCAGTTGCGTCAACAGCTGTTCTGTTCTTCCAGATATTCTAGGTGTGGGGCACAAAACGCCTGGCGTTGTTTCAGAAGTTTCACATTGTGAGATATATGTCCTCCGCTGGTGTTTTTGCAGGTTAAAAAAAGCATCGAAATTTAGCTTCAAATATCTGCTTGATTGTAATTCAAATTTTTAACGGCAAAAATGATTTTTACTGGTTAATCACTGCAGATATTTGTTGCTTGAGTCAATTCATAGACCTGTAATGTACATGAACGACGAATTCCGCGACAAATTTTTCAAGGGCAAGGGAAATTTGGGATATGACTTGGCAGCATTGATTTTACAAACCGGGCGTGACCATGGGATTCCGCCGTATACGGTATGGCGAGAGTACTGCGGTGGCAGCAAGGTAACTGGTCGAAATTTCCCTTTCAAAACATTATGAAAAAAGCTAAATATATAAATGCCCATTTTTAACGAATCTTGCGATTTCCTGCAACAGATCAGTGCACTAGGAAATTAAAATTCTGTGCGGTAAGCAATATGATTTTATGAAATGCACTTTCAAGATCTCACTATTTGGTTCCAATCGAAAACGTAAATCAAGTCATTTTTCGCATTACTCAGGTCGAAGACTTCAAAGATCTGGTGGACGATTTAGTCGATGGAGAGCGCTTGGTAACGGAACTCGCTGAAACTTACAAATCAGTGCACGACGTGGATTTGTACGTACTCGGTTTGGCTGAAAAACCCATCCGCGGTGCGCTGCTTGGGCCAACATTCAGCTGCATTCTCTCTCTGCAATTCCAGAAGGTCTGAGCTGACCGTGACAGTAAAAATTTTTGGACAGTTCGATTTCTTGGAAGAAAAACGCAAATTATAATGGGAAGCATTTGGGTTTGGCTATTAGCGTATAAAAAAAGATAAGACACTCCGCGTAGACTTGTAGAAGATACTGGAAAAGAAGTGCATGCGACATCTGTGGTGCAGTAGACCTGGACAGTGACCAGTAGGGTATTCGGATTTTGCTGCTTTCAAGAAGATGCTAAAAAATCATGTGTTCCACAGAAGGTGAGTGAGGAATAATGGAAATAACTTTTTGGCGCATGCTTGACAATTGCTGTATTTTCACATATCAGTCAAAGAATGAGCGTTTTTTTTAAGACTAAAAAGGGTGATCGCTACTGGTACGAGAATGATTTGGCACCTTCCGGTTTTACGGAGGAGCAGCTGGCGGAAATCCGGAAAACAGCGATGGCGCGGATTATCTGCAACAGTGTTGAGCACATCGGATCGGTACAGCCGCGGGCGTTCGAACTCACCGACAAATATGAGTATGCTTTGTTTTCGAACAAAATACTTACACCTTATCATATACATATATTTTATCAATGCAGCTGACTAGGTGATTACTCCAGCTATTTCAGTTAAGGACTGTCCCCGTACAAGGCGTTTACCTCACACATGAAAAGTTTGGCCTTTTTTCAGCAACTATCCAATTCACTGCAACGAATCAATGCTTTCTGATTTGGATTTGGGCAGATGGCGCGATGACTCACCAAAGCTGAAAGTGCCTGTAACTCCGGAAACAATCCAAAAAGCCATGGAACTTGCGTTGCGCGAGGTGGAGGAACGCCGGATACGCGAACGAAGGAATATTAGAGCAAGTAAGCGCTCTTGTACTGAACAAGCCTCCTCGAAACCAACAGATTCCGAATCTACAAATGCAGAAATGTGTAATTTAGCCTGAATAATCTTCCAGTCTGCAAGCACCTAGAAAAAATGTAAATAAGCTGGAATAAATTTTAAAAAATTCGGCAACTTTCAGACCAAATGGTATTCCGATCTGGTGATCCGCTATTATCGTACGGCAAGATGATGCGAGCAAAACGAGAAGCCGTTGCTATTGCACGAGTTTCCACTGTATTCCTGCAAGCTACCAAAAATCTCATAAACGAGTAGGCTTACCCCAAATTTTCTCAAATAATGCTGCATAAACTGCGGTTCGAGATTCCCGAAATTTCTTAACATTGATATGAAACTATAAGCACAGCTATTTGGTGGAGCTGCGTTTGAGGTAGACATCTTTTACCTCACATCTGTAACATCTTTTTGAAAATACGCGTCGTGAAATGTCTTATGAAGAAATATCATAACAAAAATTATTAACTTCATAATGAACAAACTTTGGGATTAATGAAATTCAACATGCCTGGATTGGAGCTGACCATTATTTTCTTGGTAGACGCGCTTTTTCCAGGGGTTCATTTGCATTTTTCCAGTATAACTTGGACTAGTATCAGTCCATTCCAGTTACATCGCCTAAAATCATAACTAATTATCGTACTGCTACTAGGAATAAATTTCACATTATTATTTTGCAGTGCTGAATCTGATGATGGGCAAAAATTGCCTGATGAACTGGATATGAATACGCTTCAGAATCTTTTGCCACAGATTGATGTCAGCTCGTTAGTCCTGCTCTTTTCGTTTTCTTTAATTCAAACAAATTAATTAATTAATCCATTTACATATTCGTTTACTGCGAAAACAATAAATAATTCGGTCAGTTTCTTTAATTTTTGAAAGGATGTTATGGAAGTGAGAAATGTCTGTTATAGTTCTAAGAGTGTCTTATGCGGAAGACTAGTAAATTCAAAGATAGTCTAATTAATTTTTTCGCTCACATTGAGTTATTATCTCAAAGTTTTATTATTTGCTCAATACAAGACTAATGGCGAAATTTCACTACAAGAATCTTACAGTTTTCACTATTTTAGGTTTATTGGCCGTATTGAGCCTTTTCTCGGGCCAGGTGGATCGGTGGAGAAGTGCTTGCCGAGGAATTTACCTTGTGATCATACAACGCCCTATCGGACAATGTCTGGCTGGTGTAACAATCTTCGAAATCCGCACTTTGCTAATGCTTTTGGCCCACTACTCCATTTGCTGCCTCCAGCTTATGAGGATGGTTCGTTCGTTGAAATTTTTGACTCACAAGTTTACCAGATCGTCGAGACAGCTAGTCTGAGGATTCAGTGTTACTAATGCTTCTGAGATGCTCCCTCACGCCGAACATAAATAGCTATATTTTACCTTCGCTCAAATGCCTACTAATACGTGACCAGATGACAAGAGAAGCGAGCAATACTCTTTTTGTGTTGTTTAACTTTCTAATTAATCTGAAAATGCTATAAAAAACGACTGACATTTTTTAAAAGATTTGAGTTTTTTGAATATTTAAAAAAATGTATGAGCATAATTTCGTTTCAGGAATCGATACGCCACGATCAAGATCAGTGACCGGGGAAGCACTACCATCAGCACGAGTAGTTTCGAATGCAGTACATTTCGATTTACCATTCGATCATGAAAAATACTCGCATATGGTGATGCAGTTTGGACAAATCCTAGATCATGAAATGACTCATTCGCCTGTCGAACGCGGTAATTATTTTCCGCCGAGTAATAGATTTGGGCGAACAAATGAGTCACCAATCTTAAACGGGCCTTAAGAAGTCAGTTATTACTGGGTATGACAAGAGGCGTCAAAGCAAGGGATTCAAATTTAACACAGAAAATCGATCAGTCTCAGAAACAAAGTAATTCAGAGAGTTGATGAAGTGGTTTCGCAATCCGACTATGGTTTGCTAGCCCAGATGCTCTAAGTGAAACTCGATATTATTTTGGAATATAATTCTTTTTTAAATTCTTGAATAATGAGCGCTCAGATGAAACTATCAGATTTTCTAACTAAAAACTACAGTTTCTATCATATTGTGCAGTTAAGGGCCGGATGATGAAATTTTGAACTGCACAAGATGCGATTCTCCGGAAACAATTTCGGTGCACTGCATGCCGCTGCCGGTACCTCATGACGATCCTCACTTTCCGACGCATGACGACTATGGCGAGCGGCGTTGCCTACCATTTGCGCGTTCGCTTCTTGGACAGCTAACACTCGGCTACAGAAATCAGCTTAATCAGGTTAGATCTGTAGCTGGGTACGAAGTGGCGTTGCACATTTTTAAGACGTAAAATTTGAGTTGCGCCCAGAATGTAGGAACACTCAAGCTCAACATCATTTTCTGGTCTGTGTTAGTAATCGTAACAGTAAAGGACAATTTAGCAAGAAGCATTCTGAGCGATGGATAACTGAAAGCCGAAGGAGCAATTAGCCTAACTTTGATGCTATTGCAGCTAACGCCATATTTGGATGGATCGGCAATATACGGCTCAACAGAATGTGAAGCAGCGGAATTGCGTAGTTTCGTTGGTGGTCGCCTCAACAGCACAAATCTTGGCGTCTTTAATCCGTAAGTTTCTGCTCATTTCAGACTGAGTCAAATTTCTCATTAGTGCAGTATTTATTTTAAGGAAGTTAGCAAATCCTTAAGATTAGCTTGAGAGTTAGAAAAACAATTTTAAAATCGAAACTTTCGAGGCATATTCTGAAGAGTTTGCAGAGAGGCCCTGCCGCAAGGTGACCAGGAGCAAGACTGCCGTTCGTCTCCTCGATTTCCATGCTTTGTAGCCGGTGATGAACGGAACAGTCATCAGCCGGGCTTAACATCTATGCACAACATCTTCCTCCGGGAGCACAATCGTATTGCTCGCAAGCTAGAACAAATAAATCCATTCTGGGATGATGAACGCCTCTACCAAGTAAGCTTCCCTATCAATTTGAATTATTCTGATAAATAAACAGTCTTATTCGTAGCTTTAGAACACAGTTCTAGGTCATAGTTACTTGGATCAGCTCCTCGTCGACTGACTTATTTTGACAATAATATGGGACTTGTTTGTTCAGCATAGTACTCAAGCACTTTTAGCTTGCTTTTCGAGCAATCTGCTCTCTAGTTTAGTTCCTTCATTCTGTTTTGGACATCTATTTAGAACTGAAAACTGAGGACAGTGTGTTGCGTTCAAATAAATTCGCCCCTTATGGAAAGTGAAATACTAGGAAGCAGGAGCGAAAGAGGTAATGTACTAGCTCAGTCTTAGGTAGTCGATTCAAACCTGCGTTTTAAACCTAAGCAATTTTATTTTTTTATCTACTTTACTACCTCAGAATGCGTTAGCTCAACCTATTACCATTCAGCTAAATTGAACTGACTTTTTTTTTCAGGAGACCAGACGTATTGTGGCAGCAGAATTTGCCCATATAGCTTATAATGAGTATTTACCCCTTCTACTTGGCCGCCGAGTCATGCGCAAATACGACCTGAATACGCGAAAAACTGGATACTACCACGGTCTGTTCATCTCAGTAGGATTTCATGAAAACACAATAACTCAGCCTAAGCGGATAAATAAAACAATGGCATGTGCAAAGTAGGCTATTTCAAAAATTGTCCGCTAGGCTGGCTGAATACGAAGGAAAAAGAGACGAGTTTGCATGGACAGGTGACTCAAGCACTGATTTGAAGAAGACTGTCCGGATCGACGGTTATCAGCATCAAGGTGGCTTCAAAAAATATTGGCATGTGCCTTTCTAGGGAAAGCGCCATTCAGTGAGATAACGCTAAAACTGAATTTAGTAGCCTGCGCATCCCCGAACACTTGTATAAAAACCCTTACCATTACCCCTGAATTATTACAGAAAGAGGTCTAACAAGGCGCCGATTGCTATCAGTTTCATTACTGAACGAAACAAAAGAGTGTCCATAGTACCACCTGTTGCAGGTTACGATCCGCAGTGCGATGCGTCCATTTCGCATCCGTTTGCCACTGCAGCATTTCGTTTCGGGCACACACTCGTCCGTCGATTCTTTTCACGCTTCGACGCCTTTTACAATAACTTCACGTGGCCCGTCGATTTGGTGGAGAATTTTAATAATGTCGAAGCAATTTATGATGGTGAAGGAGGTAATTGTGCTAAATCTATCCCTGAAAGATTTTTCAGGCCCTTTGTCACAGTTTTCAGTTGAATTTTTTAAAAATTCTAGCTCCCGATCGCATCAGTTTTGAAATTTCTCTGTTTTCAGCTCATGAAATTCAGTGAGAAAAATCAGTGTACCTCTCACATTTATGGTTTATTTCAAAATATTAGTCTCAGTTATTAATTTCATAAACTGTTGTCCAGGAAGCATTGATTCGCTGCTTGTTGGTTTGCTTGGCACGCCGTCAATGGCATTCGATCGACATATAACGACTGCGCTCAGGAACCACTTGTTCGGCCGTCGAGGTGAGCCGCTCTCGGGAATGGATCTGATCACGTTGAACATCTTGAGAGCACGCGATCACGGCGTACAGCCGTATAATGCTTATCGGTATGTAATTTTTAGCTTTGAGAATAGGTTATGTTGTTTTTTTGACGACTTGTCAACACTGTAAATCAGTGATTGGTACTTCAGAACCAGCCAAAACAGTTGCTCGGACAACAGGAACCAGACAATCAATTCAAAACAAAACCGACAGTTTAAAAATGTCGCAAACTTATATGCTTACTCTGAGTTGCTAGATGATACATTGCTCTTAGGATAGTACAGTACCAATGAGCAAAGTGGAATGTGTTAGTGCGAATCATGTAACTCCTTATTTTGAAGGGAACTCTGTGGTATTGGTGCAGCCAGAGAATTTTCGGATTTACTTAGCGAAATGGATGAGACAGCTGTCGAAGCGCTGCAAAGTGTATATAGGAAAGTGGATGATATTGACTTGTTTCCAGGATTAGTCTCCGAAAGATCCATGCCAGGTCTATTTCTTTTGACGCAGCTTTTGGGCATACAAAAAATTATTTTTCTTTACTCCTATACTAAAAGTGTTAAATTTACTAAAATAGCCACAGCACATAATAGAGATTGTGAGCACTGTCAGAATCGTGAATTTACGAACTCAGCTGTTTCGGATGAGTAAAAATCACGGTTTCAGGAGCACTCCTACCTCCGACAATGGCTTGCATCATTGCAGAACAGTTTCAGCGATTGAAAAAATGCGATCGCTTTTACTATGAGAATGATCTGCAACCAACAAGATTTTCCGAAGGTGCATAATTGCTTCTTATTTGTACACCTGTTCTGCAGACATTTCAAGGCTCCTTTTGACCATTACTGCAAATAAGCATGTGCATGCGTGAGTCTGTAAGTTCATCAGGACTGCACAGAGTAGCTGAAACCCAAAATTACTTTTTCATTGTTTGGTTTTTAAGGTCTTTTTGACTGAATGTTTGAAATACTTGAATTAGCTGTATTTTTTAGCAAGATTCTCCAATCATGCAGCTGATCACTGTTCCAACTGTTTTCGCCTGTGCACATCTCAGATAGTTAGCTCTATGTGGTCCTTTGATGATCCTTTTCTTTTTCAAGGATTTTTGCAGCTGAATTACTTGTTTTGTGGCATAAAAATAGGTCACCTGTCACTTTTCTGGATGTAGTCTTTAAGAACAATTTTAAATCCTACAGAATGGAATTTGCAGAGCAGTTGAACGAAATTCGGAAAATAACACTCGGTTCAGTGATTTGTGCAAATAGCCGTGTTCTAAAAGGCATACAGCCTGATGTTTTCTTGCTACCCGATGAACTCGTGTATGTTTCCTTCTTTGGTTTTATTGAGCCTGAGGGAGAGCATCAGCGCCCATCGTTTTGGGATGAGAGAGGAAGGGTAATAAAATGTGTTGAGAAATTTCAAGTGCATCGTAGGGGAAGCAAAACTACAAAGGCATAAAGTTTACCAAAGAGAGCAGAAAAACCATCAAACTATCGGGAGAAAAAAGTTCATTTTCTTCCAAAATATGGATACATGAGAGAGTCATTGACAGCCTTGCCAGCGGGTGGTTGCTATTAGCACCTGCTACCCTCAGAATGCTTTCGAGTGTCTTCGCCTCTCAGAGCGAATGCGGAGGGAGTTTAACGAACTCGCAGCTAATCCACAGTGAGAGACAATGTGGAGATGCACACATCAGCTTTGATGTATGTTTCAGTTTCTCTGGTACCGTTTATCTATAATATGATATTTCTTGCTTATTTTCGTTTTAACACAGTTTTCTCATCTGATTTGGTTTCAAACTTTGCGTCTTTTTATGCGTTTTTTTGCAGCAATGCAATGCGAAAAACGCATATTGACGAGAGGTTGTCTGTG